GGGGGGGGGCGACACTGTTCAGTGATTTGTAGACATACATGAGTATTTTGAACTAGATTCGAAAGTGAACCGATAACCAGTGCAGGGAGGCCAAAACTGGTGTAATGTGCTCTCTTTTGCCTGTACTGGTTAAAAATCAGGCTGCTGCATTCTGGACCAGTTGTAGTCGTGCAATGGAGGTCTGACTAATACCAAACAGGAGCAAATTGCAGTAATCAAGCCTAGATGTAATGAATGCATGTATTACTGTCTCCAGGTTTTTTTTGGACAATATGGGCTTCAGTTTAGACAGCCGCCTCAGTTGGAAGAAGCATGATTTAACAATCATGTTTACATGATAGTTAAGCTTCAGGGAAGGGTCCATTATCACTCCCAGATTAGTGACTCTCTGTTTTTCTGACAGGGTTAGAGCGGAAAGGTCGATGCAGTGGTTTGTGATTGTGTCGTTGGGAGGGAACAACATGACTTCAGACTTCTTTTCATTGAAACTTAAGAAGTTTAAAACCATCCAGTCCCTGATGTCAGCCAGGCAGTCGAGCAGCGGTTGAATCGAGCATGTACCATTGTGTCTTAGGGGGAAGTAAATTTGACAGTCATCGGCATAGAACTGGAAGGGCATGTTGTTTCCGGAAAATAGCACCAAGCGGCAGCAGGTATAAAGAGAATAGGAGGGGACCCAGGATGGACCCCTGCGGAACCCCCCATTTAAGCTCTGCCTCTGCGGAACTAAAATCCTTGATGGAGACACAAAAGGATCTGTCAGCGAGGTAAGATCTGAACCAATTGAGGGCTGATCCTGTGACGCCCACCCTTCATCTCGCTCCAGAACTCCTGGAGCAAACGTCAAATCAGCTGCGTTTCGCCGCGACGCCCAGGTGAAATGCAGCTGATTTGACCATTAAAGTGCATTTATTACGTTAAATTTAAACTAAGACACACCTTTACTATAATGTTGAGCAAACAAATAATTGTGTTAATCTTGTAAAATTCTTGTTAAAGTCCTCCCGTGTTGCTCCTGTGGCCGCCATTTGGCAGCCAATTGATTTTTGGCACAACAACGGCTCACATTTCCAGGTGGTCAGTGGTGACACATAATAGATGCAACTTATTTATGTTTTTTTCCTACTTTATTAGACATATTTGGACTGATGCGACTTATACGGTAGTGCAATATGTACAGCGGTAAGTACGGTAGCTGCCACAATAAACCACCACGACTTTGCAACGGAGGTTTTAAAAAAGCTCCAAAGACTTTATGACCTATCATGTTTAAACACACACAGACTCTGCAGAGACCATCCACAGTCTGGTTGATGGTTTTAAAACTGTGACGAGGTCATCGTCTTTTATGAAGTGGCTCTAAGAAAATAGCATCCAGCTTACCACCACTTTGATGTCCTCATCCTCCATCGTTTCTTCTCTATAACAGAACAGAAGCACTTCGTTACTGACCAGTTCAACATTTATAATCTATAAATCAATAAGTCAACTGTAGATCCCAGAACAGCCTTTATAGTCTAACTATTTCATAAAGAGCCTAAAAGAACACCAGCTGTATGTCGATGCAACACCAGAGTCAGTTCTAAACAAAAACACACATTTTTATTATTGTTTTTTTTAAATAAAAAGCCACTCATGCAAGAAACCATTCATTAACATCAGCCTCTAAAAAAATGACTTAAACAAATGGTCCACTTCATCAACCCTCGTATTATAAATAAAAACAAGATGTTTCATTTTAACTAATTACAACCATAAATTACACAGAACTTAAAATGTAGAATATAAAACTAAAAACAGGTATGAAGAAGAGACACATGGTAGACCGGTTCTTCTCGTACATAAAAGTAAGTAGTGACCAAAAGTACAAATTTACAAACTGTTAAAAATATGAACATAAATCAAAGGTTTTAGCTGGACATTGTATGGTTAAGTGCTTAAAAGCAAATTTTGTGACTCATGCTACAAACACATACCCTGATATGAGCTCTAAACCCTTAATAGCATTTGTGCAAACAAGGCTTTAAAAAAAACAGAGTTTGAAAGGAACTCAAAGTGTTGTAAAGAGGTGAAGAAGAGAGTCCAGGCAGGATGGAGTCGATGGCGAAAAGTATTAGGAGTGATTTGTGACAAAAGTGTGGCAACACAGGTCAAAGGAAACATTTACAAGACAGTGGTGTGAGACCAGTTATGTTAGGTTTGGAGACAGTGGCAGACAAGAGAAAGAACTGGAAGTGGCAGAAATGAAGATGTTGAGGTTCTTCTTAGGCGTGACAAGGATGGATAAGATTAGGAATGAGATCATCAGAGGTACAGCACAGGTTGAACAACTGGGAGATAAAGTTAGAGGCCAGACTGAGATGGTTTGGACATGTCCAGAGGAGGGACAGTGGGTATACTGGTAGAAGGATGATAGAAATGCAGCTGCCAGGAAAAAGACAAAGAGGAGATATATGGATGCAGTTAGAGAGGACATGGAGGTAGTTGGAGTGAGGACAGAGGATACAGAGGACAGAAGTGGAGGACGATGACTTACTGTGGAGACTCCTGAAGGCGACGCTTAAAGAAAAAAGAAAACATTGATATAAATGTGGGCCATTTTTAATCTTACTCTGGTATTGGAGACATACACTCCCCGTCCACGTCAACAGTTGGTAACGATTCTGTCATATCCTCTCCTCTTTCATAGCTCTTCCACAGCTCTTGGCTGGATTTGAAGAATCCTCCAATCACATAACTCTGCACATAGATAAATAACATTTGCATGATTTGGTAGTTTTACATTATTGACATATATTTGTATATCTTACATGGAGTTTTTTGATCTTATCACGAGTTAAATCAGTCTGCCTCTTCCCCTTAGAGAGAAAAGAGAAGTTGAACGTGGGTACTCCGAGAACCCTTTTCTTTTGCTTTCTGTTTGTCTTGGATTCCACGTCGGAAGATGATGAAGCAGCTTCATCCTCATGATCTGCTAGTTCTTCCTGGGTGCAGAATGGGGACAGGTGGGGGCGGTTCTCCCCCCTTGGTCGTATCGCTTCAGGTATGGTTTTCTGTGTGATGAATATGCTGTCCCCAGAATCACTGAGGAGAGACACATGAAGATTAGGTCAGACTGCAGGAGTACTTTGGTCATGTGTAGGACAGAATCTCTCCCTACCTGTTGCTGGCTTCATCCACATCTCTGTTCTGACCCACAGGCGCCACTTTCTTCATTTACTATAATTTAATCGTTCCAGTCAACGTAACGAGACTTCACTGTAACCTCTATTGAAAACAATCACTCTAATCCGCGTATGGGTCTTTGGACATCGTGCTAGCAACAGTTAGCCAGCATGCTAATAAAACGAGAAATTAAAACAGCAAAAATGCTCCAAAACTAAAAACAATTAGCTTCCGTGTTTAATAAACGCCTGGCTCATGTGTAATGTGTATAAATGTAACGTGCTGCAGCACCAAAACAACAATGACAAACCACGCTGCTACGCGCCCAGGAAAAACCAGGAAGTATTTGTGACGACACCGTCATCTGACCAATCAGCAACAAGGAGGAAAAAAGCAAAATCGGAGACGAGAGCAGTCCTTCTTCTACTTCCGGTATAGGTTGATAGACATCGAACTGGAGCGAAATGCTTGTTAAAAAGCTACAATCATTGAAACAAATATAATGTATATAATATGCATTTAATTTTGTAAATATGTAGTAATAATGTTTATGCTCTGTATTACAACCTTATGTCTTTTGCATCATTCTACTGCAGATCTACATAAACTTGAAATTTAAAATAAAGATAGTAATTGATGAACGGGGTCAAATGGAATGAATGTGAGCAGACACATTTGCTATTTTGTGTACATAAACTAAAAGTTAAAGCACCCCCCCCCCCCCCAAAAACAAAAACAAAAAAAACAACTAAAAATACAAGAAATAAATCTGCAGTTATTAATACGCATGCGTAAAATCGTTCTACTGTTGAAGGTGTTGGAATGACTGCAGAGCACAGCTGAAACATGAGTAGATGTTTAGACTTAAGTCTAGACCAGGGGTCTGCAACCTGCGGCTCTGGAGTCACATGTGGCCCTTTGGTCCCTCCGCAGTGGCTCTTTCAAGCTTTGACCAACATAAAACTGAATTTTATAGTATTTTATACCCACAACAAAAAATGACCAATTTTAGCAGTATTCCTTTCATTTCCTTTGAAAATATGTGGATTCTAGTACTAATACACAGAGTAGATCATACTCACTTTAACTTTATTTTTTCCAAGTAGAATACTCAATTTCTCTACAATTAAAAAATAAACATATAAGCCTGCACAGTTTGTTGTTTTAGTTTAAAAAAAAGACAAAATAATATATATGGATTTATTTTTTATTTTTACAAGAATCCAGTCTTCTGTGATGGACTTGTGACATGGATATGGGGACCAGTGACCCCCTGCAACCCGAAAAGGAAGAAGCCCCATCTAACAAACAAAGTGGCCCACGGGCCACCAGTTGATTATGACAATTGTAGCAGGTTTTGCAGCTCTGGACACATTTAAGTTAGTGAACGAAAGGTGCAGAAATGGCTCTTTTAATATAAAAGTTGGAGACCCCTGGTCTAGATCAACGAACTGGAAGTAGGCATGATGTTATCTAGACCAGCTATTCAACTAAATTGCTCAGGGGCCCACAGTTACTGAAGATCCAGCAGTTATTCTCATTAAGTAAATTTGTTTTTTGATTTAAAATCTAGTTTTATTTAAAACTGAACCCATTGGTGGGCCGAACTGAGCTCACCCATGGGTCTGATTTGGCCCCCAGGCTGCCAGTTGAATAGACCACAAAGCATCATAAAATATTGACTTAAGTATGAGCATTAATGCTAAAAAGATCAAATCGTAGCCATATATCCAGACACAGTAACTATCTTGTCGGTATTTCCTCTTTGTTCGGACATGACCTCCTTCCTTCCTTTCAGTCTCAGAGTCCACTCTTCACCAGCTCCCGTAGAGTTATGGCAGAAATCAGCAAAACTGAAAAAGTTCAGCTTTACGCCCCGTCTCTGGATGAGCTGCGAGGAGGTAAGGACTTGAGCTCTGAAATGAAGACAACAATGACGCAGGCATGGCCTTAATATGTTCATAATACTGCTTGTTGGCTGCAGTACTACAGGCTGGGCTGGAGGGCAATTTTGCAGAAGTTCAGGTGAGTGTTGTGGAGTGTCCAGATCTGACCAAGGAGCCCTTCCAGTTTCCTGTCAAAGGTAGAGTACTTCATCTTCATATTTTTTTATGTTTTGTTGCACACCTAGTTGCAAAATAGCAGACAAAAACTCACGAAACGTTTAATATGCATTTATTCCACCCTGCCACATCAGTGACATCTTTACTCTGTTCTGTGCTGCAGGCCTGTGTGGAAATCCTCGAATTACTGATGTCGGGGGCGTACCCTATTTAGTCCCTTTGGTTAAAAAGCACAAAGTAATTTCTTTGTTTAATGAGAGCACCACAGGCAGACATTTTTATGCTGACTTCCAATGAAAGGACCTGTCACTTTGTCCTTCCTTATTCCAGGAGTACAACATGAACACTGTATCGAAGGAGCTGGAGTTGCCAGGAGCTTTCATCCTCGGTGCAGCAGCTGCCCCATCCAGAATCATTGGGATGAATGCAGAGGTAAATACTTTAGATTTAAAACATATATTTGGTGCAATGTGTAGATTTGCAAATACTAAATCTCACAAGTATTACACAACTTGTACACACTGCTGACCTGATGGCTTTTGCAAACTCCTAAAAGCCTAAATTTTTGCCTCTTAGGGGGTAAGTAATTAGCTTAAATCCATTTGTGGGGCTTTAATGCTCCTTAACTGTGTGTAACTGAGCTGCACGTTAGTAATTACTGTTTGTAATGAAGCAAATTCTGACAGACAGCAGGATTCACTGCGTTAACATACTGAAACACTTACAGTATTTTTTGAACTATAAGGCACACTTAAAATCCTTTAATTTCCTCAGAAATCAACAGTGAGCCTTATAATCCAGTGTGCCTTATTCTGGTTGTGCTTGCTGACCTCGAACCAATTTTATGAGGTTATTGTGAATGAGTTGAATAAAGTTTGACTTATTTGACTGTTTTGTTTTGCTTAATGCGCCTTATGTATGAAAACAGACCCATTTATTGATATTGTGCTTTATTGTCTGAAAAATACAGTACCTTAGGCTGAATAATAAAGATGTGGATAATCTGAAATAGTTGAAGAGCAGTTTAAAATTCAGAAACTCTCTCGTTTGCAGCTGATGCCTCTAGTTCTGACTGAAGCAGAAGGAAGACCGGCGGTGAACTGCAGCTACTTCGCCTCGGTCAACCCGGATGATGGTCGGTGTCTGCAGGAAAAATATGGCGACAAATTCTCAGACTGCAGCTTTGGGCTGCTGGGGAATCTGTATGCCTGTGAAGGGAAGCCTGGAAAGGTAAACAAGAACTCTCAGTGAGTGAATGAAGACCGGTTTCTCATAAAAATGCAAAGTCATCACTACATCAGCTGATGCAGTAACTTTAGCCCTTTCCCATGAGTGCTCTTCCAGGTCATCGAGGTGCGAGCCAAAAGGAGGACGGGAAGCAACAGTCTAGTAACGGCCCTGAGAACGACTCTGGAAGCTCACTACCCTGAGAAAAGTCTCGCCCTTGGAGGCACTTTCATCATCCAGAAAGGGAAGGCTAAGATCCACATCATGGTAAATCCTGAGCCCCGCTCAGATCAGATCATAGAAAGCTGCTGAAAGTCATGCACACTGATTTATTTCTCTGGGTTGGAATCACTGAAAGCCAAGAGAGTTCTCGGCGTGCCCCCTCAACACCAACGATGACGTCAACAGCTGGCTGAAGCACTTCGAGGTCAGCGCTCCGCTCATCTGCCAGTCTGTGCTCGTGTCCCGAGACCCTGTGAGTGACGGAGCCGCGTGTCCACTGGGATCTGTTGATGCTCCTACTATCTGGTGCTTTCTTATTAAAACGTGCTTCTTTGTGCAATGTTCAGGGCTTGGACCTGCGTGTGGAGCACACCCACTGCTTCAGCCACCACGGTGAAGGCGGTCACTACTACATCGACACGACGCCCGACAGCGTGGAGTACTTGGGCTACTTCGTGCCTGCAGAGTTCGTGTATCGCATCGACAGGCCCGACGAGACGCACGCTGTCGGGCGGGACTGAAAACCTTAAATCCCACTGAAAATATGGGTTGTGTTTTAGCTAGAAGGATTTAGCTTCATTTTAAATCAAATTTAATATTTTTGTGAGGTAACAAAAGTAGAGTTATTAAAATAAATCATTGTAATTTAGTGGCTTGAATGTTTTTTCATTTGACGTTGGAGAATTGTTTTAAATTTATGAATAAAGAAACTAAAAATGAGAGACGTGACTGTTAACCAACCAACTAACCAACTTAATGAGCTTTAGTTCCAGCCTAATGGCACTTTGACTGAGTTTTCTAATTAGGACACTTATGAGTTTGTACTAAATGCTTTAATATTCAATAATCAAACTGGAAAAATGTTGCTGAGGGGCTCATGGGAGTGTGATGGTCCAGTCCTCATGTGTTTTGTGGATCTGGAGAAAGATTACCACAGCGTGCTCCAAGTGGAGGTGTATGATGCTGCAAAATTTGATATTAAATTGTTACCAAGTGAAATATTACCAGTACCAATCAGATACTGGTTCTTATCTTTATATTTTTTGCTATTTTGGGTGTAACTGGGACCTTGAGTAGACAATTTCGTTCCACCTCATGTACCACATGATGTGAATGACAATAAAGATACTTGAATTTATACATGAGCAAATCTAAATATATTTTTATGCCCTTTGACTGTTTTTGTAATTCCTTTTTTATTATTACTAATAATTAGTTCAAGGTTCTTTATTGTCGTTCGCATCACATGTGGTACATGAGATGGAACAAAATTGTGTACTCAAGGTCCCAGTTATACCCCAAAATAGCAAAAATATAAAGTGTAAAAAGAAACCGTAAAGGATCAAAGATATGCTAAGATATACACTAAACTAATCACTAATAATGTAAAATAATGATATATTAAACAGCAGCCGGGCAGCACGATGGCGCAACTGGTAGAGCTGCTGCCTCTCAGCGAGCAGGTCCTTGGTTCAAACCCCGGTCCAGGGGCCTTTCTGGGTGGAGTTTGCATGTTCTCTCCGTGCATGCGTGGGTTTTCTCCGGGTACTCCGGTTTCCTCCCACAGACCAAAAACATGCATGTTAGGCTGATTGGTAACTCTAAATTGTCCCTAGGTGTGAGTGAGAGAGTGAATGGTTGTTTGTCTCGTTTGTCTCTATGTGGCCCTGTGATGGACTTGCGACCCGTCCAGGGTGTATCCCGCCCCTCGCACAGTGATTGCTGGACATGGGCACCAGCGACCCCTGTGACCCAAAATGGAATAAACAGGTAAAGATAATGGATGGATGGATGGATAAACAGCAGCCTGAACATGAGTCTAGTGAGTAGAGTTGCATTCGGGCCTAATAAATCCTTCCCGAGGCTGTAGTTTTTTTCCGAGCCGTACCTGGACCCAACAGATTACCCGTAATTAGCCAAACCCGAAAAAAAAAAAATTAAGCTTTTACTGCTTTTGTAAGCAAATCAGTTTGACATAGTTTTAAAAACGTAATGAATGAAATATGATTTATTTTTATTAACATGTCACCAAATGGATATTAACATACAAAACAAATAGCCTAAAAAATCATCTCTAAAGATAGGCTCATTATACAGATGAACAAAAATATTTTTAGAGCAAAATTATTTGGAAAAATATAGAACAAGTTTATTTTAATTGAGCTGCTCGCTTCGGCTTTTGTAGATGCTACTTCCTTCACTGCAGACGACAGCAGGTGCGGAGACGGATGCAACTGGTGATCAGCAAATCCATCCATGCATTATCTTTACCCGCTTCTTCCTTTTCGGGTAGCGGGGGTCGCTGGTGCCCATGTCCAGCAGTCACTGTGCGAGAGGTGGGGTACACCCTGGACAGTATCGCAAGTCCATTTCAACCGGCGGGTCAGCGGACGCTCGCAGCCGATGACAGGTGTCAATCTGAGCTTAATGCGACTTTTTTAAACTGTCCGGTTGGACTGACCTGCCTCCTCCTCAAGTAGATTAACACAGTTTTATATTGTGCATTTAGTTTTATTTGTGCTGTTTTGATTGGTAAAACCACAGAAGCCTGAGCCCACGTGTGCAATTAATGCGCCAGCGATCTTTTCCACAGTCTGATTAACTGCTGCACTCTTCTTTCTTCCTCTCAACATATAAACTTACTGCTTCCTCCTCTACAAGTAGATTTACACAATTTTACATTGTGCATTCTTAGTTTTATTTCTGCTGTATGATTCGTAAAACCGCATCAAAGCCCGAGACCGGCCCGCACAATAATCACATTATAATGGCCCGGACCGGCCCTAATCCGGTTCGATCCGGGCCAGGGTTCGGTTTAGAAATGACAGCTCTAGTAGTGAGTAGTTGAAGCACAGGACAGAATTTGGGCAAAGTTTTTGGTTAAATAGGAAATACTTTATTGTTGTAATAGAACCAGTTTTTCAGAACCAGAGTTATGTAGTGAACTTAACCTGATGTCAAAACTAAGCCTAAGGTCAAAACCCTTGACCTTAAGAACCTTGTGGGACAGAAACTGTCATTTCATTGATTTGAATCCAGAAATACAGGTTCACCCATCCTGAGACTTTCTTTCTTGAAAATTCAAGTGAAAGAACACTCTCTTTTCTATTATCATTCCTGTTTTACAAATGTTTGATAATCAAAGTGTTTTAGTTCAAACATTTTAGATGTTACAGTGAACTAATCAATTTTATTAACTGTAAAACAGTAACAATGATTTTTTAGTTGCTTATGCAAAGTAGAATTCATGTTAAGGCCTGTTACAGATTTTTATGCATTTTCTGATTTCTGTCTTTGAATGAGCAAGTGTGCGTTTTCCAAGGTCAGGAGTCGAAGCAGACATGTGTTGGAACAACTGTCTTGTTTACATCCTCTCAGACGTCAACAGAGAAGTTGGCACCTGTTTCTAAAACTCGCCAAAACAAAACTCTCTCTGTCTCTGAGAACAGTTTAATCTGTTCCATAACAATTCTTGTTTTTTCTGACTTCTAGTAACCTCTTACGTCACAAACCACACCCCTGTCTGGTTGATATTGACCAATCAGGGACTCCCAAATGGACCGGGAATAGAGCTCTTTAAAATGCCGGTACTTCCTGGTTCTCCGGTCTGAGGGGGCGGAGAAGTTCTGAGATGTTCGCAGTTCTGTGAAGTCGTTTGGGAGAACAGAAGTCCAGCCATGATAAGGCTCTTCCGAGTTTGGATTATAACATATTCCACCTCTGAGTGGAACTTCTGAAGGACCCCACTCATGTGAAGTCCACTCGCTGAGGTGAGCTTGTGTCGGACAGAATCTCGTCACTACTTCGGACGAGTCACAGCCATCCTATGGAGACGCTGGACAGGTAGCGTAACTGGACTTCGTATCTGCTGATTCATCTTCAGAGAGGTAATGAGTCAAGTTTGCTACCAAGCGTACCGAGGAAAAGCTGGGTTCGAATGGAGAGTGTCGGTTCTGGTCAACACTCCCCCTCACACACCATCTTTTACTCCCTTTAAACTTCATTTCCATCTTTAAATTCTTCTCTCAAGTAGAAATCCTTCCAGATAATTTAGAAATGTCTGTGTAAAGTGCTCATCCACCGCCGTGTGGATAATTGATCATAATTGTACAGTTTTCATTAATGTCTGTGGTGAAGCAACGGAAAATCATGGCCGTATGGTTTTCCTGGTTGTAAAGCTGATTGATTATGTTGTTATTTTCATATTTTGCCAAATTAATGTAAATGTTTGATGTTAAACTTTGATTCTGTAAAATAAATGACCACATTCATTTTGATGGGTCAAAGATAAATGACGTCTCACGTTACATTTCATTAAATTCAATGCACGTTTTATTCAGTCCAGAAAAATGAAGAATCGTTTTAATTGATGAATATATCGCAGCATCTGTTCATCTACAGTTACAAAACAAAAATGTTCCCCCATATACTGCCATGACTTATTTTCTCTTACACAAAATGCAGAAAATTATCACTTGAGAACACATTAAACCTTTATTTCTTCTTTCAGATCAGTTGTTCAGAACCATTATCTTTACCCGCTTCTTCCTTTTCAGGTCACGGGGGTCACTGGTGCTCACAGTGAGAGAAGTGGGGGAAACCCTGGACAGGTCTCCAGTCCATCACAGGGACACATAAGAGACAAACGAGACAACCATTCACTCTCTCACTCACACCTATGGACAATTTTAGAGTTACCAATCAACCTAACATGCATGTTTTTGGTCTGTGGGAGGAAACTGGAGTACATGGAGAAAACTCACACATGCACGGAGAGAACATGTAAACTCCACCCAGAAAGGTCCCTGGCTGGGATTTGATCCAGCGACCTGCTTGCTGAGAGGCATCAGCATGCCGCCCTGTTCAGAACCTATAATACAAATTTAACTTAAATTATCCCCTCATGGGAAAGCTTGGGATCCCTGTAGGAGATGTAGATTTTTATGGGGAGAGGAATGTCTGGGCAGTTATCTGACCACAGATAAACAAACGGGTGGATTAGTTTCGATTGTTGAGGTGGGATAGCAACGCTCTTTATTTATCAATCATAAAAATCCCTAAAACCCTCAAAATGACTTTTTTAATTAACCTCTAGTAGAAAGATACATCTGATGCAATCTACACTACATCTTCCATCTTCACAACTCACCAGAAATACAAACCGGATTCCAAAAAATTTGGGACACTAAATAAATTGTGAATAAAAGCTGAATGCAATGATGTGGAGGTGCCAACATCTAATATTTTATTCAGAATAGAACACAAATCACAGATCAAAAGTTTAAACTGAGAGAATGTATCATTTTAAGGGAAAAATCTGTTGTTTCCAAATTTCATGGCGTCAACAAATCCCAAAAAAGTTGGGACAAGTCCATTTTTACCACTGTGTGGCATCCCCCCTTCTTCTTACAACACTCAACAGACGTCTGGGACAGAGGAGACCAGTTTCTCAAGTTTAGAAATAGGAATGCTCTCCCATTCATGTCTAATACAGGCCTGTAACTGTTCAATCGTCTTGGGCCTTCTTTGTCGCACCTTCCTCTTTATGATGTGCCAAATGTTCTCTATAGGTGAAAGATCTGGACTGCAGGCTGGCCATTTCAGTACCTGGATCCTTCTCCTACGTAACCATGATGTTGTGATTGCTGCAGAATGTGGTCTGGCATTATCGTGTTGAAAAATGCAGGGTCTTCCCTGAAAGAGATGACGTCTAGATGGGAGCATATGTTGTTGTAGAACCTGAACATAGTTCTCTGCATTAATGGTGCCTTTCCAGACATGCAAGCTGCCCATGCCACAAGCGCTCATGCAACCCCATACCATCAATGATGCAGGCTTCTGAACGGAGCATTAATAACAACTTGGGCTATCCTTGTCCTCTCTGGTCCGGATGACATTGCATCCCAGTGTTCCATAAAGAACTTCAAATCGTGACTCATCTGACCACAGAACAGTCTTCCATTTTGCCACACTCCATTTTAAATGACCCCTGGCCCAGTGCAAACGTCTGAGCTTGTGGAGCTTGCTTAGAAATGGCTTCCTCTTTGCACTGTAGAGTTTCAGCTGGCAACGGCGGATGGCACGGTGGATTGTGTTCACTGCCAATGCTTTCTGGAAGTATTCCTGAGCCCATTCTGTTATTTCCTTGACAGTGGCATTCCTGTTTGAGGTGCAGTGATGTTTAAGGGCCCGGAGATCCCGAGCATCCAGTAGAGTTTTACGGTTTTGACCCTTACACACAACGATTGTTCCAGATTCTCTGAATCTTTTGATGATGTTATGCATGGTTGATGATGATAACTTAAAAGTCTTTGCTATTTTACGCTGGGTAACACCATTCTGGTATTGCTGCACTATCTTTCTGCGCAACAATGGTGGAATTGGTGATCCTCTTACCATCTTGGCTTCTGAGAGACACTGACACTCTGAGAAGCTCTTTTTATACCCAATCATGTTGTCAGTTGACCTAATTAGTGCTAATTGGTTTTCCAGCTGTTCATTATATGCTCAATTATATGCTCAATTTTTTCCAGCCACTTATTGCTACTTGTCCCAACTTTTTTGGGATTTGTTGACACTGTGAAGTTTTGAATCAACATGTTTTTCCTTTAAAATGTTACATTTACTCTGATCTGTCATCTATGTTGTATTACGAATAAAATATTGTCATTTGCCATCTCCACATCATTGCATTCAGTTTTTATTCACAATTTGTTTAGTGTCCCAACTTTTTTGGAATCCGGTTTATATATTTTAAAATCACTCATAGAAAATCAGTAAAACTTAATTACAAAACTTTGTCTTACTTAATGAAAATGAATTTAAGAAGTTTTACATTTAAAGATCAAAAGGCACAGTTTAACCAAAAAAACATCTATTGTGGTTTATGGCAAACAATAGTTGTAAAGACCCTATAAAGTATTTATAAAAATACTAGACCTACTCAGAAATTCTGTCATTTTAAATTTACCATAAATTTCACAGCAATAGACAGTTTGTATTGTTTACAATTAATATATTTTTTCAGCTTTTTGCAACAATTAAATGGTATATATTCTTTGATATTTTTACACTTTCTACTTAAAACTAAATGATGTACTCATTGACCATGTGCATTTCTTGTTTTTCCTTCGAGCTGGCATGTTTGATTCTGTTTTAAAGAAACAATGAGAGAAATATAACAGTTTAATTTCATGTACTTTTAATTGTAAGAAGACTCAAAAATGATGTGGCTGTTGGACAAATGGCGCCATCTTCTGACCATTACCGGAACTACATAATTTCCCACAATGCTACTTGCCGCAGCAGCCCGGAAGTAAGCCGTTTATTGACAACATGGCTACCGAGCTGAGGTTGGATCTGGAGAAAATTTGGATTTGACAGCACCGTTCGGGAGCTGCAGAAATAAGCTATTTCCAGCTGAAGAGCGAACAACCCAGATGCATGTGAATGAAGGGAGCCGTGAGTCCGAGAGACGGTGATAGTCAACCGAGGAGACACCCGGAGTGTGAAACTCGTCATGTCGTTTTTTAAAAGGAAAGGTGAGGAAGAAGCTCCCACTGCGGGCTGCAGTGAAGATCCCGCTGAGGACAGAAAGGCTCTCCATAAGATGACATAACTACGACTGAGTTGAGGGTTTAAACGAGTCAAAACCTCGGCGGTGTTGACTCGTCCCGCCGCTGCCGTTGCTCGCTGCAGTAACTCGGTTAGCTTAGCGGTGGCCTCCCGTCACATCCTCCCTGTTTCTACCGGTGTTAGCAGGGTGGTGCTAAATCAGGGTGGTGTTGAATTTGCTTCAGTGAGCTTTCAGCAGTCAGCTTGTTATATACCACCAGTGTGTTTACGTGAATATAAAACACTGTCCACACAGCATTAAACAACCGCTGTTAGCTTGATTTTTGAAACGTACTAGCTTGCTAACTTTATCGAGACAATTTCACAGACAGAGTAGATTTGATAGCAGAACACGCTGAGATAGTTTTGTTTAAAGATAATATGTGTGGTTACAGTATTCTTTCTATCAGCAGCAGAGGCTGTGTTAATAAATAGAAAGTGATGGAGGAAGACTGGTTTCTTAGCAATAAGACAAATAACATCCTGTTAGGTCTCTGCAGGCTGTGATTTCAAGCGTTGCTTCTATTACAGACATTACGGTAGACACGCTCTGAAATAATTTGAATAAAACACAATAACACTTATTGTTGCAGGCAAGCTTTATGAGATTACATTTAGTTTTAGTTGTTTCTGTTATATATAATTTCCTCAGCATAAAGGGTTGTGATTACGTAATTTAATGATCAGGAAACCAGTAAATGAACTTGTGTATTTCAGCAACTTCTCTTCCTAAATAACATATTTCCTCATTTGTCATTTTGGACAAAGTAGCTGACACAGCTGGTCTTCAAAAAAGGGAAATGTGAAACAAACCACATTCATTGGGATCACCATAAAGACTAACGGGAAGCGAGTGCCTCTGCATGCATGAAAATTTAAGTGGGCATGCAAACTTTTACGGAGTAATCAATCCATCCATCCATTATCTTTCTTTTTGGGTCACGGGGGTCACTGGTGCCCATGACCAGCAGTCACCGTGTGAGAAGCAGGGGACACCCTGGACAGGTCTAGGGACAGTTTAGAGTTACCAATCAGCCTAACGTGCATGTTTTTGGTCTGTGGAAGGAAACCGGAGTACCTGGAGGAAATTCATGCATGCACGGAGAGAGCATGCCAACTCCACACAGAATGGTCTCTGGCTGGAATTTGAACCGGGAACCTTCTCGCTGAGAGGCAACAGCTGAGCCACCGTGCTACCCTTGAATAAACCAATAAATAATATAAATTAAAATACAGAAATACCTTTGAATACTTCTAACTGTAGTTTTCTTACTCCAATGAGTATTTAATGTTCTCTGAACTGAAAATTTGACTTTAAACTTTTAACAGATTTAACTTTTGTGATGTAAAGGTTGCCAGAGTTCAAATGTTTTGCTTTTGACACGAGACAGACACGTTTTCACCCAAGTGCCTCAGAGACAGAGCATCTTCAGTCAGTACCATTTTACCTGGCCTCTTAACCCCATTCTCTAACATCAGTGCTTGAATTTGATATTGGGCACAATCTTACAGCCCAGTTTGATGATAGAAATGTAAAAAAGCGAGTCACTTCAACGAGTAGTTGTCTCTAGTTCTGCACTCATTCCTCTGCAGGGTGCATGTTTTATTCTTATGTGACAGACAATTAAAAAAAACTCCAGTATAGTGGCAGATATTTATAGGTTTTTTAAATAGTTTGGCACCAAACCACATACTCCAGCTCACTCTGTAAACTTTACCAGTGCGTATTTGTTTTAAATACATGTTGAAGTTGGCTCCATTCATATGCTCTAAGCTGAAGACAAAACAGAGCAGATACATCCAAGGCCACCAGTACTGGGAAGGGCTTAAAGCTGACATCTTTTGTAAAGTCTGTGCTGCTTGTTGTGCAGTGAGGAAGATATAGATGGTTTTAACACATCAGGGCACAACTTCCACATTTAACTTCTCATTTGACACCGGCAGCCAGGAAGAAAGTTTACAGTGAATATTTTGTCAGTGGAGCATCTGGTGTATCAGCTACTGTATGCCATAGTGTAACTGGATATTGTTTTCCTGTATTTTTTTGTGCTGCCATACCAACCGTATTCTCCAACATCCCACATACCTTTTTGCCCTCGGGTCTCACCCTGTATTGTGATCCAAAATGTTTTCTCCTCTACTTACACCCCTGCTTTTATCTTTCTCTCGACAGCCAAAAGCAAGGAACCTGAGAAAGTAACAGATGCTAAAGTCAGTAAAGGTGAGTTAATCTTTACTTCTGTAAGTCTATAAAAGGAATCTTAGTGGTGCTGAACTTTTTTTGATTTGTGACACTTTGATTTGGAAGATTTTACAACTCAATGAAATAACCAGTACTGTGTGGGTCTTCATTAAATTGAGGTTATTATAACTAGGAGTGCACTGATTGCAGTTTTCTGGCCGATCACCGATTTCTAAAAAGTCTGACCTGCCGATTTCGATTTTGGCCGATACCAATTTTGTTTTATAAACGACACTGTCAGGTGTTATAAGGTCACAATGCACCTTCAGTTTTCCAATATTATTTTGTTGAAAAGCATACCCTTGAACAATATCCTATAAACAATACAAGCTTGTTTTAACTGGCCATGAGGTTGTGCTCTGAAATATAAATGAAGTTCAGACAATTGTTAAAACTAAAAAAATCGTTTTCTCATGTATCGACTGATCCAAAATTAAGGAAATCGGAGCCGATTTATCAGTGCGCTCCTAATTATAACCTCAACTTAATAAGCTCAAACTGTCATGCACTGTGTTATAACATATTTAAATAATTAAAAAAAAAATAGGCTTAAAAGCAGAAGCAGTAAAAACTACTACTACTACTTGTCTTTTGACCAAAGTTCACTGTGGAGATGTTCAGCTGTAATACAAAGAACTGCATCTGATTCTGGACATTCAACACCAATCACTGCAGAGCTGCACGGTATAAGACAAATGTGGGAATAGGATGTTGTTGTTGGATATTGTAATTAAAATCTATTGCAATAAACTCACATTTTCTCACTCTTCAATTTTCATGTGCTGTGGCACTCCCAGCATGCAGTTTATATAAGCCTTTTAAAGTTGACTATGTGATGACAATATATTTTGGTATAATGCACACTAAAACACAGCATATTAGTACAAACACTTCATTCTAACTGTTGAGCACAGCAGTGGAGGGCTGATGATTTGGGCTTTGTTTTGCACCTACAAGACTTTGGGTTACTTGCAGTTATTGAGTCGAGCTTGAACTCCTCTGTTTCAAATAATTTTGGAGTCAAATATGAAGCCATCTGTTCAACAGCTGAAGCTTCGACCAAAGCTTCATAAAACAGGGCGATGATCCAAAACACAGCAGCAAATCTACAACAGAATGGCGGAGAAAGAAAATAATCGATGTGTTCTGGCCCAGAACTGTTGAAATCATGTGATGGTACTTTCACAGAGCTAACTATAAATGTCTGAAAACATCAAGGAAGTAGAGTTGGATTCAGGCCCAAAAAACCAGGCCCCAGCCCGTAGCCATAATTTCTGAACCCGACCCGACGAATTAACAGTAAATACAGGCTTGAACCCGAACCCCCCCAACATTTTTAATTAAGCTTTGACTGCTTATATAGTTAATAACGGTCAGAGGACGCGTGTGGCTAAGGGGGCAGAAGATGGATGGGAGCTGAAGGGGTGTTTGTCCTTTCATGGCCGTCAAAGTGCATTAAATCCCTGCTTCTGGCTGCATTCTGCATTATGCATACACGAACCCAGCTCTGACATGTTGGATATTTTGTGTTCTCATCTGTTTGGGTCATCGGCCGCGCGCGTCCGCTAAGTGCAGCGGCTGAATGAATGTGCATTTGGGCTTTGATGGATCGCTGCCTGTCAGTAGTCCGTCTGAAGCTTTACTGAAATTTTTACCTCTTTCAAGGCCAGTCAGCTTTCAGTCAAACAGCCACGTGTGGCTGGTGATTGTATGGCAAACCATGTTGCCATATAATTGGATTGTCAGCTGCGTAAGTCTGTTGACGCAATCAAAAGCCCGACACCGGCCTGACCCGCATATTATTATGGCCCGGCCTGACCCTAATCCGGGTCAAGCCGGGTCGGGCTCCGGTTTTATGTTAGAAATGACAGCTCTACAAGGAAGTAAAAGGATGTGTTAAAGAAGATTGTGACATAATTCCCTCACCTGAAAGGTCATATGAAGACAGCTATCTGATGTTACTGAATATTTCCAAGAGGTATCAAAAGTAATAAACCATGACAGTTGAAAATGTTTACATGCAGTTTCTGCATTTGTTAAACAATAGCTTGAAGTCTATTTAATCCTAGTCACAATTGTATTTACTAGAATAGTATGGAAAACCTTAGAGTTCAGACATAACTTTTACTACAACTGCAGAAGCATAAACTAGAGGGAGGATGATGGTGAGTATAGTGGAGCTAGAGTTAATTTAAAACAAAGCTAGTGACTCGTGGATTCTGTGCAGTTTGAAGAGTCTTGTCTTTAACTTGTTCAAACATTTCACAGATATGATTCAAGCCACTGCTTAGGTTGACTTTAGTAAGCTTTGATTATATTCAGTCACTGGTGTTGTTGTCATAAGGACTAAAACTACAACATCTTACTGTTAAGAAAACACAGTGAAGCTCAGTCAAACACAGTCTGTGCTCTCCAATTACAGTTCAAGGCCTCGACACATTATGAGCTCTTTACTAAAACACTCCCTAAAAAGATCTTTTCATTCAAGTCACACACATTCTCATGCTACTCTGATTATCTCAATGTGCATTTTTCTTTTTGTAAATCCCCAAATTTCACTTTTTGTGCTCATCCGTTGTCTTCTCACAGCTCCGGTCAACACTCATTCTCCATCACTAGCACTGAGGAACCACAATGCTATCCAGGAAGCTGCCGGGCCGAGCCATGTGGCCATCAATGCCATATCTGCCAACATGGACTCGTTCGCCCGAGGCCGCACCGCCATCCTCAAGAAACAGCCGAGCCACATGGAGGCTGCGCACTTTGGAGACCTTGGTACGGAGCCGGTATTTATTTGTTTATACTTAAAGGCCCAGCATACTCCATCAGAAGCCGAACAGTCGACTCGCAGTCGTGTGGTTGCAGGACGTTTGTTTTCACACGCACCTTTCATAGTCTACGAGACAGAGCTAATGGGAATTGTATGCTCCTGCCACTGTGTATCTGTTCCTCCTTCCTGTTTCTACCAAACCCGGCCGGTCGAAGCAGATGACCACCTGCCTGGTTCTGCTAAAGGTTTCTTCCTCATGAGGGAGTTTTTCCTTTCCACTGTCACCTTCATGCTTGCTCAAGATGAGAGTTCTGCGATGGAGTTAGACTCAAAGAAGTCTGCTCCTCAGATAAATAATGTTATTAACTTACTTTTGAATAATATGGATGTTTCTGTTCAGTGCCCTGAGACTTCTGTTGTGACTTGGCACTATATAAATAAACCGAATTGAATTAAATTGAACTGGGGAAACCCCTCCCACCGTAATATACATCACTGCATGGGTTTCTTCCCACCATAATCGCCACTCCTTCTCTGCATCCATCGTTGGTCTCAAATCTATCATGCAGAGAGCGCCACACTTTTCATCAGACAGACCCCTCCATAAACGATGTCTGTGCATTCTCCATCCAGGAGATTTTGAACATTTGCCTTATTTCGTGTTTGAAGAGTCAGCTGCATGTCTCAGTGCATTTCTGCATTGACAAACACACTTCTAAACTTCTAACCAATCACACGACACTTGGCGCATACACCTGTGAGAAAAAGTTTGGCCTGAGTCTTGTGTAGGTTAAGGCCTACACAAGACTTCACCCTCAAAGGTCAGGCGAAGCTACTCTGAGAACAAAATAACATCATTTTCATCATGCAACTTCGTCAATGAGAGCTGATTTTGCCGCTTCAGATGGAGTATGTAAGGAAGCCATCTTTGTAAAGAGAACCCGCTCATTGTTAAACAGGCAGAGGCCTCCATGTTCAACTGTCACTCTCTTACAATGCTGTTATTGTATCACTTAGCTCTCTGTGGATAACAAGTATCTGTCAGGACACTAACGATTGATCGTTAGGCTGATGGTCCTTATATGTGAACAGCTAGTTCTGGTTGTCACCATCAAACTGGTTGATCCACTACGAGAAGGTGCTGCTTATAAAACTGAGTTTGTTGCAAACGTTTCAACAAGAAGAATCCATCCAGAGGAGCTGACTTAACTTTGGTAGATCAGATAAAACACTTTTTATTCCTACCAAACCAGTCACTTTGTTTGCATTGTAAAGACTCATGTTATCAACTGGAAACATTTCAGGGGAACTGATATGCAACCTGTAATTTAAACTTATTCACAGAGTTTGACAATTGATAGCAAAACTAACAGATTGAACTTTAAATCCCTTTATTTCATGTAAAAGTTGACTTCTTGAAGCAGCATCATTGCTAAAATACTCTAATTGTAACTTCCCAGTTACTGTTTGTTATGTTGCAGTTTGTGTGTCTCAGTGTAACGTTTGCATCATTGAAACCACACAAACATCCCAGTGATTGGTGCAACTTTCTGCATTCCTCTATAGTCCTGTGTGGCGGTTGTGCGTCACTGTTAAAGTAAACCCACTCATTCTGAAAGCTGTCTGGTTGAACTTGGCCTGCAGCATTCATATTGCAACAAAACTTCTCATTTCCTGTTCAGAATTGCTTTATATTTAGGCTGCTGGATGTCGTCATCTGTGTCTGAGATAGCAAACTTTTTGAAGGTAGACAGAACCTGAATGAGCTCGTTGGCCAGCGAGTGGCACGGTGGAATCAGATCAAGGTGGATGAACCTGTGCTGCAGACCAGTCAACAACAATTGCAACTCTCAGGGCTTCTATTATTATTCAGTGTAGCTTTAAATTAAAAAAAGAAAATGTATAGTTTAAAGAGATTCAGTTTTAACAGGTTGTTGTTTTTTATCTTGTAGATCAATGGTCCTCAATCCAAGATCCAAGATATGAACTAAGAAAAATGTTTACTAAAAATACACTAAGCACTAAGTACCTAAACAATACACCGAACAGCATCATGAACATGAGTCTGTGAGCAGATGAGCACGCATGAACACAGCAACATGAAACGGATCAGCAGCACCATGAAACGGATCAGCAGCAAAATGAAACAAATCAGCAGCAACATGAAACAGATCAGCAGCAACATGAAACAGATCAGCAGCAACATGATGTGATTTTTCACGCTGATTATCCTGATTAGAGATTCATGAGTCTAACAGCCTCAGGGTAGAAGCTGTTCCTCAGTCTAGTGGTTCTACACTTAATGCTCCTCAACCTCCTGCCTGAGGGGAGCAGGGCAAAACGTGTGTGTGCTGGGTGAGTGGGGTCTTTCATGATGCAGGTGGCTCTCTTGAGCTGTATTGAAGCAGAGAAACATCTTAAACCTGCAGGAAGGAGGCACTTGAGGACCAGGATTGAGGTCCACTGTTGCACATGGTCGTTTGCGTTTAGTCACTGGTAAGGTTATACTGATGCTTGTTTAAACCATAACGCTTCTTGATTATTCGGACAGAGATGCTTCACTAGTTTTTGTGAGTTTCCACAGCTTTCATTGTCAATTTGAAGAAGATTCGATGTGATTAAAAAAAAAGTTAATGAGAAGAATCACAACGTAACCCACGTAGCGTGACTCTTAATGGTGTATCATCTTCTCTGTTCCCAGTTTTAGATAATGTCATTGAGTCTCTATGTTTGAAATGGTGCAAAGTGAAATAAGCTGCCATCCGTACAGAGACTGTATTTTTTTTCCCCCTCATTGTTCAAACACCGCTGTATTACAGAGCCGGGTGTGATTGGACTCTGAAAGCAAGCTTCAGAAACTGCCCCTGCCGACTTCTCCATACACCCGTAAGAATGACAGGACGCAGATGTTTCTGACACACTGCTGAGAGAAGTTTGTCTGTGTTAAATCATCTGTGAAATTGCATAGCTTCAGTCCACTTCTTGTTTCACAGAGAGATGAAAATCCATAAGACTTCAAAATAAAAATCCAGGAGTTTAAGTTCTGCTCAGAATAGCTTTCAACCCGGAGTAAGTCCTCAGTCTACATCACAAAGCTGAGCACAGGAAATCCTCTTTTATCTACACGTCTGCTTCTTTGAAAGTCGGAGGGTGTAAATAAGAATGTACGTATTTTTACAGAACTGTTCACTTCGTCGTATGCGTCTCAGTACAGTATACTGTAGTCCCTCAATTATCGCTGGGGTTATGTTCCATCCTCACCCCTGCTATAGGTGAAAAACCTCAAAGTAGGAATGCTATATTTATTTAATATTTATTTATATTTTAAGGCTTTATAAACCCTTCCCACACTCTTGCAATGTTCTAAACTCTTAAACCTACATCATTTTAACAACATACTAATATGTACTGTACAGTAGTTACTGCAACATTTATATGGGGACTCATCAGCCTGGGCCCGGTTCCGGTCCAGTTCTGATCATCTTTCTGCAGCCGTTGAGCATCAAGACTCTTTCAGAGAGAGCTGGAACTTTCGGAGAGCCTGTACAAAATAATCCAGACGGATCCAGATGAAAAAAGTACAGGTGAGCTCCGGAGAAGACACCAGACCTCCAAGCAATGTCTCCCCTTTCGAGAGGCTTCATGGGTACTCAGATTGACCGGTGAGGCTGGAATTAGTCCTGGTCCAATTCCCAGTTGGTTCCGTACGATTCTCTGCAGCCACTGAGCGCCAAAGCCACTATGAATCAGGACCGAACCCTTTATTCAGGTTCAGTTTGGATCAAAACTTTCCCTCCATTTCCTCAGAATGCAGTGATCAGAAGCACTGTTGGCTTCTGGGTAATGTAGTTCTTTTGTCTGGTGATACAGTGTAGGCTTATTGAGAAAAAACTACAAAATGGCAGAGCCTATCCAAAGTATTTTTTCTTTAACTTTTTATTGTATCCAGTACCGTCCTAGTCACATGAGTAATATTAAAGTTGACAATTGTGTGTCGTGTACAATTTTTTATTTATCTATTTTTTTTATAAAAAAAAAAAAAATATATATATATATATATATATATTTGTTCTGTATGATCTTTGAATAATCGTGAAAGAGCGAGCCAGCAAAAGTCGAGCCTCAAAGTAGCAAGGGAGTACAGTAAATCTTGATTCTATGAGACCAGTAGTGTTTTACTGTTCTATGTTCATTAATTAATTATTTTCTGTTTTGTCTGTTTTAGGTCACTCCAGTGTGAACTACCAGCCCCAGGAGACTCGCTCTCGGCTGTCTAAGACAGTAGACCAGGTTCTTCAAGACAATTTAGCGATGCCTCACTACATGCATTTCATGGAACATCGGGGCGCTGACCACCTGGTTCGCTTCTGGCTGGAGGCTGAGAGTTTCCGCTCTACCAGCTGGTCACGAGTCCGAGCGCAAAGCCTCAACTCCGTCAAGCACAGCTCACTGGCCGAGCCAGTCTCCGTCTCACCGCACGGCACAGAGCTCATTCAAAATGTCCCCAACGACCTCGCTCGGAGCAATAACAGCGTAGGTTCATCTGCGCTGCCGGACCGTCGGGACTCATCCAGCTCAGAGTCAGACCTGAGACCCAACTCATCCCGCTCTGAGACCCCCAGCAAGAAAACACCTTCCAGGACAGGGACTCCTTCCAAGGGCCAGCCAAACAGGACTCTAAGAGAACTCTCTGACCAACTCATGAAAAGTGAGTCTGCTTTAAACACTCTTGTTATTCATATTCTTGTAATTGTTTAGAAAAGTTTACATAGTGCAATACATAACTAAAGATGCCAATGCATACATACTGAAGCATCTTCGTTCAGCTAGATCTTCTATTTCTTTTATAATTTTTGATTCACTACTGGTACTCTTTCTGTAGCTTTAAAACACCTGTATGGGAAAAAAAAAAACATCAAAATGAGGGCTTTAATGGGAATAGTGTGCTCTGACTTTTGGCAGCAGTAAGTTGTATGACTTAGACCAGGTGTTCCCAAACTTTTCCATGCCATGGCCCCCCAAACAGCATTATCTTCTGGCCAAGGCCCCCCTCGCAAACCCACAAACAATGCTACAAAATATGTAAAGAAACATAAACTTTTAGAATGTTTTATTCTATTAATTATTACAGCTGCTGAGCATAAAAATGTTATTAACTAACATGTTGTAAACACTGTATAATATTCCCATTGAAAAAATCTAATTTTCTACAAATTGTTGCCTAGAAAAACAAAACAAAACAAATCTAACCTCTCTTTCATGAGTGTTTATCTGGAAATGACAGGTACAGATTGTCCTAGTGGGCAATTTTTATTGTTATTATTACTATATATATAGATATGATTTTTTTTTGCTTGCTTTTTTTAAAAAAGTTAAAAAAAAATTCTCTCCAGCCTTCTGGGGCCCCCTTAGCACCCCCTGGTGGCCCCCACTTTGAAAAACACAGACTTAGACCATATTTGCAAAAACTGAAACATTTTGACAAACACAGGTGAGATAACCCAGCTGGCTGTGTAGCGCTATAGCTAAGATATGCTTACCATTAGAAACAACATTAATAAAATAAATGGGCCACAAACTGTTAAACATCATGTTGGATAAATTAATTATCCTTTCATCATCTCATTATTCAAATAAGCCACACTGAGGATACGAGACTTTTCAACCCAGTGTTTACTTGCAAGGGGGCGGGGTCAAAACAGGCTTACACCGATGTTACACTGAAGCTCCGGTCACGAGGTCTGCCCACGGACAGTATAAAGAAGTTCATTTTTATAATGCTTATCAGGCTACATATACTACATATACAGATATGTTCTTGTTTTTAGTATTTCACTCTGTTTTATGGCACCCTGATTTATTGTTTTGTACACTTATTTTAACTGCATTTTTTTTTACTGTATTTTATTGTAATAATTGTCTACTGTTTTGTTATTTGTACTTTATATGTTCTGTCTGGAACATGTCCCTCTCGCAAATGAGTCCCCATGGCTCAATGAGGCTAGCCTGTGTAAATAAAGATTGAACAAATGAAAAAGACATAGTCGAGGTCAACACAACTTCTGCTTTCCAGCTTACAGAGGCCTTGGAGTTTATCAGGCACAGGCTCCGTGCTCCTGCAGGCACACAAGCAACTCTCTAACTCACACACATTAGTTTAACATTAGTTACTAATAAACATCCATAACCTTTACCTAAACTCCCCTGACACATCACATGACTGAACTGGTATTTTTTGCTGTTATTACGTAATTGCAGTCTGTTTCATGTTTGAAAATTTTTTCACATAATGTTGAACAGTATGACAGTGTGACACTACAGCCTTTGAGCTTCTAAACTTTCTCACGTTTTACAAACAAGCCACAAGTTTCCCACTTATTATGTAGTTTATTCATAAAACGTAAGGATTTGAGTTTTCTTTCACCCAGACCATATCTCACTAATTAGGATTTATGGTTTTCTCTCAAATCTCCCAGAGTTCAGAGTGTACTGATCTGAACTTGGTGGCTGTTAGGTTTAATTTCCACTCTCGTTTCTTTCTGCTTATCTTAGTAGGAGTGCTATCAGGGAGTGAGAGACACAGGTGAATGGTTACCATGGTGAACATAACGGGGAGCAGCTTTGACATTTCATTTGGTTTTGATTCTATTTACATTTGCACAGTTTATACATCAAGCCACGGGTGTTTCATAAGATTAGATTATTAGAAAAGTAAAAAAGATCAAAATGACTTTTAGGTTTCGTGGAAGAATTCAGTTGTACGTTGGAATTTTGGGCAGTAGCAGCAATCACATCGTGATATTAAGGTTTTAAACTGACATTAATATACTTTAATAATGTTCAAAGACAGCTTTGCGTTTAGTGACTAAGTGAAGATACTTGGAGCCTCTGTAGCTGCAGTTGGAAAGGATAACTAGTAGTACAGTCGTCCCTTCCTATATCGTGGTTCACTTCTTGCGGCTTCACTGTATCACAGGTTTTTTAAATCCGTTTTTTATATCATGTGTTCTGTGCATGCTGTGCAGCACTGTACATTCATCTCATCGTCATCATCGCCAAAGTGTTTAAGGCCATATGAGGTGTTTATAAGAGAGTGTAAAAGATTTGTAGGAGTTGAAGAGTTTATAAAGCCTTAAACCTATATAATAAAATAAATATAACACTGCTACTCTGTGGATTTTCACCTACTGTGGGGGTCTCTGGAACATAACCCCGTGCGATTGGTGAGGGATCTTCGTGTTTATTGTTTGAGAGTTTAACAATTTGAAAGTACCGTTACCTTTTTTCAATCTGTGTCAGAGGTGTACCTGCATCCAGAGGGAATGGCTTATATATAATTGAAGTAATTTTTTTTTAAGATGGTGAGAAAAGCTTTTCCCTTAGCTAATTCCTTCGTCATTACTAGAAACTATTAGTCACATAAAATGACTCACGCCTGTTGAACAACCATATTAACCTTTTGTTTCACACATGATGATGAGCATTGATTTATTTTGTGTCTTTGCAGATATAGAAAGGGATGCGGTTAACATCTTCACCAAGTACATCTCCCCAGATGCTGCGAGGCCCATCCCCATCACAGAACAGATCAGAAACGACATAATTGGTAAGACGTAGAGGATGAGTCTGACCACGATGCACATAAGTAGAGTAGTCCCCTCGCTACTTCGCGGTTCAACTTTCGCGGACTCGCTCTTTTGCGGTTTTTAAAAGTACGGACATGACACAATTTTGGCTGATTGATGGATAAGCTGCACGATCGGCTTGGATTTTTTATTTAAAGTAAATAATTTTAAATTATTTAGATTATTTAGCACCTGCTGCACCTGTGTGCAGCCCACATGTGCAGGGAGACGCTTCAGCTTGTCGATCTCTGCTCTGCAACGGAGAAGTGGCCGAGAGAGCAGAGATCATGACATTCTGTGCTCTTTTAGAGCATTTAGACATTATAAACATTGTTTAGAATATTGCAAGTGTTGGAAGGGTTTAAAATGCCTTTTTGTGTGTGTGTATATATATCTCAGTGGTTCCTCTACCATTATACAAGCGGGGCACCCCGCCCCTTCAACAGAACCGAGCGCCCCGTCTTTCTCCTCTCCCACATCCGGCTCTAAAACTGTAAAACTGTCGGTGCAAACAGCGTGCGGCTGTCTCTGTGTCAACCCCCTCAAACAAAAAAACAAACAAAAAAAACCTGTTGGTTTAAACAGCGCGCTGCGCAGCTTAGGTCGTGTATCCGTCTGTCTCCCCACTCCCCGGACAAAAATCATGGACGAGAAGAGCGCTCCGCCATGGAAAGTTATCTAGGGGACACACTGATATATATATGTATGTGTGTATATATATGTATATATATACACACATATATGTATATATATATATATATATATATATATATATATTCCTATGTCACAGTTTTTCACTTATCACAGGTGGACTAATCGGAAACCCCCGTGATAAACGAGGGACTACTGTACTAATCTTTGTTGCTGTAATCTTCAGTGTAATAACTTATAATCTGGTTGAAGTCATAAAACTGTCAGTCTTAAATTACAGCTCTTCGTTCAAAGGTTTCCATGTGTTTTCTGTGTAGCTAAAATATGTGGTGAAGATGGCATGGTGGACCCGAACTGCTTTGTCATTGCACAGTCGCTCGTCTTCGCCATATTGGAGGAACAGTGAGTTTCATCTTTTGCACTGCGAGGTTCCCATTACTGTTTTACCACCTCGACATCTTTGCTAACGGCTGTGTGCACCTCCCACATGCGCTTCGATTTTCAGGCACTTTAGTGAATTCCTGCGGAGCCATCATTTCTGTAAATACCAGATTGAAGTGTTGACGAGTGGCTCCGTGTTCCTGGCTGACATCTTGTTCTGTGAGTCAGCTCTCTTCTACTTCTCTGAGGTGAGTGGGCCCAAATGTCATGTTTTTTTTTTTAAACACACAGTATGTGCCTCCTGTTGACTTCTTGTCCTTAAAAGCCCAAACATCAGGATACAGCAAAAAAAAAAAAAAAAAAAAAAAAAAATCAAAATGCACACAAAACAAACAAGGGGTCTTTATTTAACAGTTTTCTGTGTCTTCTCCTCTGCAGTACATGGAAAAGGAAGAAGCGATGAATGTACTGCAGTTCTGGTTGGCAGCAGATAACTTCCAGAACCAGCTAGCAGCTAAAAAGGGCCAGTATGATGGCCAGGAGGCTCAAAACGATGCAATGATTCTTTATGACAAGTAGGTCCTTTCTCCCCTGTTTAATGTGCTCAAAACCACCGAAATATATTTTCAAAGCACGCAGAACTTTTACTTTTTTTTTAAACTTTTTTTACTGGAAAATTACAGTCTAAAGAGTCCAATAGAAAGGCCAGGTTCCTTTGTACAGTGTATTTGTTGTTGATTTGCCAATCAAGTAGGTGTTTTGTCTATTTTAAAGCTTCTACATTATTTACACTGCCTACTGTACTTACCACCATACACGTCGCACCGACTTATAAGTCGCATCCGTCCAAATATGTCTAATAAAGTGGGAAAAAACATAAATACATCGCTTCGCTGTATAAGTCGCATCTATTATGGCAGCTGTGGCTGAGTGGTTAGAGCAGTCGTCCTCCAGTGCAACAGTTGGGGGTTTGAATCCACCAGCAGTCACTTGGCAAAGTGTCCCTGGGCAAGACACTGAACCCCTCGTTGCCTCCGATGTGTGTCCCATCAGTGTATGAATGTGATAAAGCTCTGATTAGTCTCTTTAGAATGATTTGTTCAGATAGCTTTGTATAGATCTAGTAGAGTGCTGTATGAATGGGTAAATGAGGACACAGATTGCAGTGTAAAGTGCTTTGAGTGTCTTGATAAGATAGAAAGGCGCTAGATAAGTACAGTCAGTTTACTGTTTATCATATTATACGTCACCACTGACGTGTTGCGGTTGTTACACATCACTGCTGACAACCTGGAAACAGTGACTGGTGTTGTGCCAAAAATCGATTGGCTGCCAAATGGAGGCCGCGGGAGCGTTCACGGGAAGACTTTAACAAGAATTTAACAAGATTGACACTTAAAAACAATTGTTTGGTCGACTTTATGGTAAAGGTGTGTCTCAGTTGAACTTTTCCTTAATAAATGCACTTTAATGGTCAATCAGCTGCATTTCACCTGGGCGGCGCGGCGAAATGAAGCTGATTTGACGTTTGCTCCAGGAGTTCTGGAACGAGATGAAGGTGGCTTGGTATGGCAAGCCAAGTCTCTCATTAATAGCCACTTTTAATTTGTCTGTTCAGCACTTTGGTCCTGTATGTTTTTTTTTTTTTTTCAAGTGCTTTATAAATAAAGTTGGATTAGACTGGATTGGACTTTTACCTATTAATGAGACACTTGGATTGCCATATTACTTGACTGCCCTCTAGCAGCCGAAAATGGTAGTGTTCAATATTTCCCATGTCAGAATGAATGAAATTGTCAGATCTCAGCCAAAAATTGAGTTATAAATATGGGAAAAAACATAAATAAGTCGCTTCACTGTATAAGTCGCAGGGCATGCTAATTTATGCAAAAAGGTCCGACTTATACAGCGAAAAGTACGGTAGATGAACAGTTCATGATACTCTTCAATGTTTTCTGTAATTGTATAATTCAAATAAAGTCATGAATAAAAAAAAACCTTGTTTAGCTGAAAGTAAATGAACTCCACTCTCAACTTATATTGCAAAAAAATATCGCCCAGCTTTACTGACAATATTTAGCGGCAAGATTGAAATGTTCCAACCATTTATTTGAATATAGGTTTTGTCCAATTTCTGTTTAATTTTAAGTATTTGATCAAATTTTAGTGTTTAATTTTGAATTCAGTTGTTCATTCCTCTGTTTGTCCAGGTATTTCTCACTCCAGGCCACAAACCCTCTGGGCTTTGGTGACTCTGTGCGGATGGAGATCGAGTCCAATATTTGCCGGGAAGGTGGGCCTCTCCCCACATGTTTCACCACTCCACTCAGACAGGCATGGACAACCATGGAAAAGGTCAGATTCTCTGAAAATCAGATCCTAACAATCACAGTAGCTTTATGCCCAAATGCAGACTCGGGAATAACTTAACACATAAAACGCCTACAGTGTAGAAACGTGACAACTTTAGTAGAGGTGTCAGAGCACAATAATTTTTTTTTTCTTTCTGTTTCTGCCTTGATTTTTGATTCTTTACGTCACTGTAGCTTTGGAAAACCATTAAAAAAAATTACTAAAAAATACAACAGCTCATGCAGATTGATAGGGAATAGTGTGCTATGACATTTCGTGGATGAACACAATATGGCCTCAACATAATTGGTTGAAACACTTGTGAACACTTGTGTGTTCCTCTAAGGACAACAATGAGATTTTGATGTGAGGGGGTATGCAGCCATTCTGTCAGAGTGCGCACAAAACTCGTTGACCAGTTCTAGCTGAGCTCAGATTTTTCTCATCAAAATGGGAAGTGAAGGCTTTTTTAAAACTTTTCTTCTTCTGCATGAAACACTGCAGCCATAAAAAGATGTTGATCAGAAGTCTTTGTCTCTTAAGGTTGAGGATTTGTTTCAATACGTTGTAGTTTCCACACAGTGATTGTTTGTTAGGCAACCTGATGACATACAAGTGGAGGTTTGGAAATGTCTAGAAGAGATGGCAGTGAGGTTTTTGGCTCAACTGTGACTCAACAAGGGCCCTGTGACTGTGAGCAGCAGTATGGTTTCATGTGGAGAAAGAGCACCACAGATGCCATCTTTGCTTTGAGGATGATGATGGAGAAGTACAGAGAGGGTCAGAAAGAACTCCATTGTGTCTTGGTGGATTTAGAAAAAGCAGATGACAGGATGCCGAGGGAGGAGGTGTGGTATTGCATGAGGAAATCTGGAGTGGTAGAGAAGTATGTTAGACTGGTACAGGACATGTATGAGGACAGCAGGACAATGGTGAGATGTGCTATAGGAATGACAGCTTCAAGGTGGAGGTGGGAGTGCATCAAGGATCGGCTCTGAGCCCCTTCTTGTTTGCTCTTTTGATGGACCGACTAACAGATGAGGTCAGATGGGAATCCCCGTGGACTATGATGTTTGCAGATTATGTACCATACCATCCATCCATCCATCCATTATCTTTACCCACTTATTCCATTTTGGGTCACGGGGGTTGCCGGTGCCCATGTCCAGCAATCACTGTGCGAGGGGCGGGGTACACCCTGGAAGGGTCGCAAGTCCATCACAGGGCCACATAGAGACAAACGAGACAAACAACATTCAGTCTCTCACTCACACCTAGGGACAATTTAGAGTTACCAATCAGCCTAACATGCATGTTTTTGGTCTGTGGGAGGAAACCGGAGTACCCGGAGAAAACCCACGCATGCACGGAGAGAACATGCAAACTCCACCCAGAAAGGCCCCTGGACTGGGGTTTGAATCAAGGACCTGCTCGCTGAGAGGCAGCAGCTCTACCAGTTGTGCCACCGTGCTGCCTTATGTACCATACCATACCACTTTATTTATAGAGCACTTAAAACAGTGACAAGCCAACCAAAGTGCTGTACAGACAAAACAACAGGTAACACACAAAGCAATATACAAAATGAGGTAAATCAGAATATAGACATAAAAACGATGCAAATAATGACGACTAACCAGTGTGGAGCATACAGGATCAAAACACAGATCATCTGGTGTTGAAAGCTACTGAATAGTAGTGAGTTTTTAAACGGGACTTGAAAACCGAGAGGGAGGGGGCCTGTCTGACAAGCAGAGGTAACTCGTTCCAGAGTCTTGGTCCTGCTACAGAGAAGGCCCTGTCACCTCTGCGCTTAAGACAAGTTCCTGGAACTGTGAGGAGCAACTGGTCCGCTGACCTCAGGGAGCGTGGTGGGACATACGGTGGTAGCAGATCGGAGGGATGGGGGGGGCGGACACTGTTCAGTGATTTGTAGACATACATGAGTATTTTGAACTGGATTCGAAAGTGAACCGGTAACCAGTGCAGTGAGGCCAAAACTGGTGTAATGTGCTCTCTTTTGCCTGTACTGGTTAAAAATCGGGCTGCTGCATTCTGGACCAGTTGTAGTCGTGCAATGGAGGTCTGACTGATACCAAACAGGAGTGAATTGCAGTAATCAAGCCTAGATGTAATGAATGCATGTATTACTGTCTCCAGGTTATTTTTGGACAATATGGGCTTCAGTTTAGACAGCCACCTCAGTTGGAAGAAGCATGATTTAACAATCATGTTTACATGATTGTTAAGTTTCAGGGAAGGGTCCATTATCACGCCCAGATTAGTGACTCTTTGTTTTTCCGACAGGGTTAGAGCGGAGAGGTCGATGCAGTAGTTTGTGATTGTGTCGTTGGGAGGGAACAACATGACTTCAGACTTCTTTTCATTGAAACTTAAGAAGTTTAAAGCCATCTAGTCCCTGATGTCAGCCAGGCAGTCGAGCAGCGGTTGAATCGAGCATGTACCATTGTGTCTTAGGGGGAAGTAAATTTGACACTTGTCGGCATAGAAGTGGAAGGGCATGTTGTGTTTCCGGAAAATAGCACCAAGCGGCAGCAGGTCTAAAGAGAATAGGAGGGGACCCAGGATGGACCCCTGTGGAACCCCCCATTTAAGCTCTGCCTCTGCGGAACTAAAATCCTTGATGGAGACACAAAAGGATCTGTCAGTGAGGTAGGATCTGAACCAATTGAGGGCTGACCCTGGGACGCCCACCCACTGCTCTAACCTAGCAATGAGGTCGATGGTGTGAAAGGCAGCCGTGAGGTCCAACAGGACAAGCAGCACAGAATCACCAGTATCTGTGGATCTGAAGATGTCGTTAAAGACCTTCAGCAGGGCAGTTTCAGTGCTGTGGAGAGGTTTAAAGCCAGATTGGAATAGCTCTAAGATGGTGTGACCTTCCAGGAAGCACTTCAACTGGGACTCTATTTTCTCCATTTTCTCATATGTGATCTGTGGTGAGAACAGGGAACAGGTGGAAGGGAACTAGGAGAGGTTGAGGTATGCACTTGAAAGAAGAGGAATGAAAGTCAGCCGTGGTCCGACAGAGTACGTGTGTGAATGAGAGGGAGGCCGGTGGAACAGTGAGGCTACAAGTAGCAGAGGCCACAAAGGTGCAGGACTTCAAGTACTTGGGGTCCACAGTCCAGGAAAATGGGGAGCGTGGTAAAGAGGTGAAGAATAGAGTCCAGGCAGGATAAAGTTAATGGAAAAAAGTTTCAGGAGTGATTTGTGACAAAAGGGTGTCAGCAAAGGTCAAAGGAAAAGTTTATAAGACAGTGGTGAGACCAGCTGTGTTGCATGATCTGGAGACAGAGACATGGACAAAAAGACAGGAAGAACTGAAAGTGACAAATGAAAATCTTGAGGTTCTCATTAGGAGTGACAAGGATGGATAAGATTAGGAATGAGATCATCAGAGGTACAGCACAGATTGAACAACTGGGAGATAAAGTTAGAGACCAGACTGAGATGGTTTGGACATGTCCAGAGGAGGGACAGTGGGTATATTGGTAGAAGGATGTTAGAAATGCAGCTGCCAGGAAAACGACAAAGAGGAGATATATGGATGCAGTTAGAGAGGACATGGAGGTAGTTGGAGTGAGGACAGAGGATGAAGAGGACAGAGATGGAGGAGGATGACTCACTATGGAGACACTGAAGAGGGAACAGCTGGGAGAAGAAGAAGAATGTTGGCTTTAGGCCTGATTTCAACTTTAAAGTAAAGTTAAAGTTTTGTCTGCCTGATTTATAAGGAGTGCTGTCAAGTACTAAAGAACATGTGTGGTTAACATAGAGACTTGAAGTTTATGAGTGTTAGAGTTTGGAGTAGTATCTGAAGTGTTTAAAATTATTTTACAAATTCTTACTTTAAGTATCATTCCTCTTTAAGACATTTAGACATTTGTAACAATTTTGAACAAGTCTTTATAGTCCTCAGAAGATCAGATTTTCCTATAGGTTTTTGTATGTTGTTCACTAACAGATTGTACAATATAAGCCACTGACAAGCAACTGCCTTAATCAAATAAAAGCTGAAAACCTATGAGTACAGAAAGGTCAGAAAGAAACTTTACAATTCGTGCACAGAAGTCCATCATGTTCCACCAGTGTTCATCCTGTTCTGTATTTGTTCAGGTGTACCTGCCTGGCTTCCTGTCTAGCAACCTTTACTACAAATATCTGAGTGACCTCATCAATTCAGTGCGGGCAGATGAGTTTGTGAATGTCAATTCTCAAGGTCATGGCGGGCCCGCGGACAACGACCGATCGGGTTCAAATGCCAGCGAGGGCTCTCAGAATCAGGTGAGCTCCAGATGTCTCGATCCCCCGAGGGGATGCTCTCTGTCTGCTGACATTTAGACCTGTCCTGCCAGATTACATGAATAATAAGGAGGTCGTGATCAGTCCTCTCTTTTAGCGGGATTCATTAGGGGAAATAAAGTCATGTGGATTTCTGCTGCACTGTTCTGTCTTTACTGCAGCAAGGTGCCAAAAAAGCAGCCATCAAGATTCTGAAGAACTTTGACGAGGTGATCACTGTGGATGTTTCTAGTTTGGACCCTGAGACTTTGTACCAGCGGCCGTATGCTGGGTGAGTTTTGGTGTTTCAACTCTGCAGTCACAGGAGATTACAGAATAAAGTGGATTTATGCAAGTCCACTTGTAAAATGCATCTTTAAAGTGGTGCTGTAAGGTTTTAATATTTTTCCCTTCTTACAGTTGCATTTATCAGAAGGTTGTACAGCCTGAAGGTTAGTTTAGTCCTTTTTAGTCTGCCGGCTGTCTTCACTGTTTATTTTCCTTTTCCCTTCACAGCAAAATGACTTTTGGGAAGGTAAATGAGTTGGGACAGTTCATCAGAGAGGCTGAGCCAGAACCGGATGTGAAGAAATCCAAAGGTAGAGGACAAACACACTTTCTTCTGCTTCCTATCTGCTTTTTATCAGCAGTTGCAGCTCACAGGCATCTGAAATATTTAAAAATGCTTTTTAAGATTTTTTTCTTCTTCTTTAAACACAGTGGTTACAGACAGATTTAGTGGTTTTTTTAAAAAAAAATAAAATAGCAGGGATAAACTTGAAGTGTAGTTTTGGACAGACAGTTAATTGATGCGTTTTTGATAAAAATTGTTTAGTTTGGAGACATTTTATCTTTTTTTTTAATTGAGACCATCAAGAGGATGAATGGTCCTGAACAAAACACAGTGACATGCACAAACTAGAGTGCAAAATAAAAACTGTCAAATTATATAAATTAAATCATCACTGTCACTTTTTGTCCATTCTAATCCACAAATTTAGTCAAAATGTGTCAAGATAAAAATTTTTTTTTTAAGGGTTCCAGTGCAACACAGTGAAGCACCCTTATCACTTTTCTGCTCAAACGCTTGCGTCTGCTTGTGCTGCGTTAAAATTAAACATGCAATTTTAAATATTAAAATGTGCAGCTCGATCAATAATGGTGTGCGCTAGCTTTTGGTTGCAGTGCATTGCACAATGTAGACAACATTTGCAAAAATAAATAAAAAAATAAAATGCTAGAAGCATTAAAAATCAGCCCTCTTTGAAGCACTACAGCCCAGACATACTTCACAGTAGAAACATCCTGACACATCATCCCTGAACACAGGCAGGAAATATCAATATGGATTTGAGTTTATTTTTAATTGGAGGAATAAAGGGGGGGGGGGGAGTATTTCCAATAAATAAACAATAAAGAAGTAAATAAAGTTCTTATCAGTCCTGCATGCACGTATGTGGATGCCTAAATGTGGGTTTAAAGTTAAAACACTAATTAAATGAAATTCAAGTCTTCTAAGACTTAACATGAAAGAATGAGCTAATCTAACTTTATAAACGGAGCTGGCCAGTGTAAAGTTTATAGATTTTGGTTCAAGTTTGGAACAAACATGTGGGTTATCTTCCAGGTTCCATGTTTTCTCAAGCAATGAAGAAATGGGTCCAGGGCAACTCAAACGAGGTCAGGATGAAAGTTTGTGAAACAAAAAAAAATCGTTGTTGCATGTTTTCACATTCATTTTAATTTGCTGGTCCGTTTGTAAAAAAAAAGCAAAAAAAAGCAAAATGTTATTTTTTTCTGTAATTTCTACAATCAAGGCTCAGGAGGAGATGGCGTGGCAAATCGCCAAAATGATCGTCAATGACGTTGTCCACCAGTCAAACCACGACAGCCCCGGCAAATCCACCAAGGTGAAACGACACTCTGTGTCCTCTGCGTGGGATGATAACAAATCATCTCTTACCTGTCTGTTTTTTAATTCTGCCTGCAGTTATGACCCCACTAAGGAACCAGAAGTCACTCACTCCTTGCAGACCAGCCGGTGATGGACTGTAGACGGGCTTCACACTGCAACGAAATGCATTACTCCTAGAAGGAACAAAGCATTTTATCACCTCCCCAGTTCTTGTGTGCTTGTGTGTATGTGTGTGAGTTTGGGTGAGCGATTGTTCAGGCATGGATTAACACAAAAAATGAAGTACATCATCGGTCAGTCCAACTCCATAACACTATAAAGATGCAAACGTAGGTGGCTAAATCTGAGTGAAGGAAAACTTTTCCATGGAAGGGAACAGTTTTTGTATTTCCAGATTAAAGCTGACTCAAAAACAAAGTAGCGGCATGTGAGGATAATCGCTGCTTTATCTGTCTTATTTGGACCCATGGAGGGTGCGACAAAAACTGAAGAGTGAAGCTCACACCCTCATGGTCCACTTCTCCACACCTTTTATAACTGTTTTTTGATTTTACATGTTCTGTTATGATGGTCAGTCACTTGGAGCGTACTGACGGAGTATACACTTTTTTAGAGACCACTGGCACAGCCCATGTGAAATGGTTTCGTCATCTCCTCACTGAAGTTTGGTGTCCCACGTCGGCTGTTTGTGTACTGTAGAACATCTTGCAATATGACCGTGAAACAGAAGAACAGCAGGTTTGATTCCTTGTCCTCCTTCGTTCACATCAAAGCACCTTTGCAGAGCATAGAATAAATACTCCCTAATGAAAGTTCTCCAGCTGTGTTGGAAAACTCCAAACTCCATGCCCTAAAGGCTCTACACATATATAAATAAATATATATATATATATATATATATATATAGATATTCTGGTTTATCCCATATATTAATGTTTTGTCTTTTGTTTTAATGGTGGTCTTAGTTTTTAAAAATGCATTACTGAAACAAAGCTCAGTGATGAATGAACTGCTAAACTGTAAAGTATGCTCAATTGATTACTTTTTTAAATTTCTGTTGAGCCTTACCTAAATGTGGAAACCAGAAAGAAAACAAAAAACTTTTGGTACCATGTACCTATAATGTTTTCTGACATGTACGTGCTCTTGATCTATAATATATTTAAAATGTGTTTGATTTAAAAGCTGTTATTACAAAAAGTTTTGTCTCTTTAGTTTTATTTTCATTTAATTTCAGATAATTTATCTGTGTAGGTGGTCTACAGTTACATTTCTCATTTAGTGCTGTCTGTAGCAGTTTCCATAACAAAAGGATTTAAATTAAATCCTTTTTTTATATTGTGGTAAAATTAGAAGAAATTACTAATCTTGGGCCAACTGTAGTTGGGTGGGCTATTATTTGTCACCATGTGGGGGCAGTGTTGATTATGCTGCTACGCAGGGTTTAACCAGAAGACAGAAAGGAGATAAATGCAGAAGTATTCTATGCAATTAATATTTTCCCTATTGTTTTGACTTCTGTTTTAACGGGTTCAAAGAAAATCATAAGTTGCTAAATTCACACCAATGGACAACTTTAATACAGCCCACGTAATTTCTACTAACATCGTTTTTAAAAAAAAATATATATTTGGGTTTAATTTTAGTTTTGATAAAGTTGAACAGTATATATTTCCTTTAAAGCGCAAGTATCGTAAACGCTTTATTACGGCCTGATAAATGTGCTACTTTTTACATAATGCCATTGAAAGCATCAGCTGAGGTTTGCTCCACGTGCAGAGTTAACGCCCACTTCTGATTGGCTGAGACGCCGTTTTAGCAATATAAACCTTCATTTGGTTTCTGCCAATGTTTACTTAATTAGCACATTAAAGTTCTGTAGTGTGTTATTTTATATTTTTATTGGAAATACAATACAATTAGAATGTTCTTTGTCATTTTGTTTTTAATGGAGAGTTAAGTGTTGTTTTAATGAACGACAAAAGTGCTTTACGGACTTAATTTGCAAAGTTGTTTTGTTTTAATTAGCGAAGTGCAAAGTAATTACAAGGCACCCGCTGCCAGAGCAAGAAATGTTCTGCGAAAAACCGGAAATTTAGTTTTACCTTCAAAATAAAAGCGCAAAATCAAGCGCAATCACACCCCTCAAGATACCATACTTTCATTCATTCAACCTTTATTTATACAGGTTAATCCCATTGAGCGACGGGGACCCATTTACAAGAGAGACTTGATTTCTTAACAAAGAGTGAGGACAACAATGGATAACGACAACAATACAGTCATAAAATAGGCATACACATTATTATTTTTTTTAACCATACCATTTTATTTATAGAGCACTTTAAACAGTGACAGGGCCAACCAAAATGCTGTACAAACGGAAACAAACAGGCAAAGTGCACAGCAACATATAACGTAAAATCAAAATATAGAAACAAAGTAATAGATAATATAATGACTAACACAGTGTGATGCATACAGGTTCACAGATCACGCAGTGTTGAAAGCCAGGTAATTGTAGTGGGCTGTATGATGTTTGTAAACTGGCTGGTTTACAAGGAATTATGCACAATATTTTGATTTATAATTTTAATAAAATGTGTTTGCGTACTATTCTGCCTCTTTAAAAGCTCTACTATACTTACTGCTTGATCTCTTTCTGTCGAGCTGCTGAATGTGATAATACACCATGTAATATGTGGTAATTAATGTGGCATTATGTAAATATTTATATGCTCTTAATCACTCAAAACACTCAACACCACACTGTACTAAATGAGTTAAAAACTGCAGCTATTCTAAAGGCTGAGAGCTATTTAGTAAAACTAGTGCTTCATAGTTTGTCAAGGCTGCAAAGCAATTTGTCAATAGAGATTTTATTTTGAAAATCTCTTCCGGAAGTTGTTAAACTAGCTTTAGCTTGACGGTGTGACTTCTTGACAGGAGAGGGAAAGTACGTACGCCGCTGTTCGTACTGAGGAGGAGGAAACATTCCGTGGGGGGGCTCACACGGCACCACCAGTACCAGCAGCTGTCCGTGTTTCTGTTTTGGACTCCTCTGCGCCTTCCGGTTCACTTCTGTGACAACTGCGCATCCAGTTTTTGGGTGTGGAAAACATCCTGAGCGTGACAGCCTGCGCGCGCTTCACACCGGGCTTCTCGGACTGCTTCGTTTGTTCTCTCAGACCAGATGTTCCGTGGACTTGGACTCGCACATCTGCACCTGCCGATGCCCTCTGACCGTACGTCGCCCCTTGGCTGCTGTAGCGCCGGGCAGGAGGCTGAAGTTGAAGTGTCGCACCTGGAGGCGTGAGCTCCAAATGCATTCTCTCCTCTTGGGCCGGGAAACGAAAGAAGAAGAAGAAAAAGAAGCCGCCTGGTTCGGGTTCGATCCGCTTGGTCTGTGTCCGGGCTTTCTGCCCCAGGCTGCCACTACCATGTTCAGCTGCGTGGGCTGCTTCTGGGTGCTCCTGTCCTCGGTTCTGGTCGCCGTCTGCAGCTTCAGCTTCATATCCCCTGCCTGGATAGTGAAGGACCAGCTGAGGAGCAGCCAGCAGCAGCAGCAGCATCCTCACACCAGCAGCAAGGACTCCGTGAGCTTCGGCTTGCTGTGGCACTGCTCGGAGTCTCTGGATCACATGTACCGGTGCTACACCTTCGGGGGTCTGGGTAAATTTGCTGAGATCCCCTCCAGCTCCTGGCAGGTAGGAACACACCCACTCATGAGCCTGCAGGGCATGAGCCAAATAGAAACAGCTGATATCAAGAAAATGGACATTGATTCAGATCTAGCAGGATTATATGCTTCAAAAACCGGTTTTAATGACCTTGTAAAGATTTCAGTGAGAAGGTGACCTAGCAGCAGTTTGAGCCACTTTATACATGAAGGGTCATTTCAGTCAGCAGAAATAATTAATTGATCAGGAGAGGAGCCAACCAAGCTGTGAAGATGGCTCCAGGCTGCCTCCACATACAGCCAGAGCTTCACTTTCCTCCCACTTGAACCTGCAAGCGACCACATGAAGGATGTAAACAAGCATCCTTGCAGGGATGGTTGAGGGTGAGTTATTTTGGTGATGTCTGGAAAGTTTAAGGCCATTCACAAATCCTACGAGAGCACAAACTTAAGAGTTTCAGCTGCTTCTCAGGGAGACGAGTTTTTTGGATAATGTTGCCAACTCCAGGTTGTTTCTACTCACCTTACCCCCTCCACTGCCACCCCTCAGCCCCCCCACTACAAATCAGCAGCATGCCAGCCATCGCCGGCGCTATGATTAATGTATGAAGGCGAATTAGCATTTCAAAGCGTGCTGTTAACATTCGCTGTTTGTGAGATTGTTGCACAAACGTCTTCAAATAGAAGTGGAAGAATGTCATAACTTTCTATTTACAGGTGTTTTTATTTTATTTTCTACTGCTGCAAAACCACACTAAAATCTGTTGCTTTGAGCTCATATACAGTACATAGTCAGAACATTAATACATCCCCCGTTTTGAAGTGACCTGAGGTATTCGGTACAAACATCGTCTTTTTTTTTTTATATATATAAAATAAGCCCCACCATGACCTCAGTTTAATTGTATTTCACTGCTCAGCATAAATTATAAAGTTAGTTCACTTTAGGTGTCTACGACCTAGACCAGGGCTATTCAACTGATGGCCCAGGCATCAAATCAGGCCCATGGGTGAGCTCAGTTTGGCCCATACCAATAGGTTCATATTTAAATAAAACTAGTTTTTAAACCGAAAAGCAAACTTACTTAATGACAATTGCTGGAAGTCCAGCCCCTGAACTCTTGACATTCAGTATCTGTGGCCCCCTGAGCAGTTTAGTTGAATTGTCCTGACCTAGACTCTAGTTCAGCTGTTATCCTTCACAGTACGGATGCACGATATTATCGGCATGGTGTGGGTATTGGTCGATATTGGCGATAAAATTAAATTTAAATATCGGGCATCGGCTATTCCATCAAAATAACTCACCGATATAAAAGGCTTTTGTTTTAAGTTAATTTTTAATTTCAGAGTCAGAGATTGTGTACTCAGGGTCCCAGTTACATCCAACAATTAAAAAAAGAAAAAAAAACAGTAATAAGATCTAAGATATGAACTAAGAAAAACATCAACTAAAGATACGCTAAGCACTAATAGCATAAAACCAATAAAATCAATACGCCAAACAGCAGCACGAACATGAGTCTGTGTGAGCAGATGAGCACGAATGAACACATCAACATGAAACAGATCAGCAGCAACATGAAACAGATCAGCAGCAACATGAAACAGATCAGCAGCAACATGATGTGATTTTTTTCCACAGTGATTATTCTGGTTAGATATTCATGACTAACAGCCTCAGGGTAGAAGCTGTTCCTCAGTCTAGTGGTTCTACACTTAATGCTCCTCAACCTCCTTCCTGAGGGTAGTGGGACAAAAAGTGTGTGCTGGGTGAGTGGGGTCCTTCATGATGCAGGTGGACCTCTTCCTGCATCTGGAGGTGTAAATGTCTGTGATGGTGGGGAGACTGACTCCAACAGACTTCTGTGCAGCCCTCACCACTCTCTGCAAGAAACTGTCAAGTATATCTATTAATGCACTACTACTTATGTACTTGTTGCTTGTGAACAGTTTGGGTTTAGATTTGTGAAAATTTACACATTTGCGCTGTTTGAGTGTTGTCATTGTGTTGGAGTAAATGTCATGAATACATTTGACATTAAACATAATCCAAGTTGAAGTATTACATAATTTTCAGCCCCTTTTTGGCATCTGCATTTGGTAGCATGCAGAATAATGTATTTTAATTCCACAACAGAGAAAGCTATTTTGAATGTCCAGAGGATCAGACTGAACTTTTTTAGATTTTTCTACCTGGATTATTGAGCATGCATCAGGAGAAAGCTATGTAGTCTCTGTAAGTAGGTCTAGGAAAACAAATATTGGTATCGGTTATCATTCAAGTTTTAACATGTGGCGTATCGGCTATCGGCCAAAAATCCAATATCATGTATCTCTACTTCGTAGGGTTATTTATTTAGGGTCTTGTTTTTATGGCTGTAGTCATGAAGGTTGGATTTGACTCTAGACTACTTGGCTATACAGAAGAGGTCATTTAAACCCAATGACTGTAAGATGTCCAGGTCATGTGGTTGCCGAACAAGCCCATATCATTAGCCCTCCACCACCATGCCTTGCAGTTGGTGTGAGGTGTTTTTGTGCTATATGTCATAACCAAACATCTTGGTTCATATGTTCAGAAAATATTATGACAAAAGTCTTGTGCCGTTTTTATCAAATCTAACTCTTGTTTTCATATGTTTAAATACAAAAGGCAACACGCAGACAACCAAAATAAAGACTGAGATGTAGATCTAGTTATTTTTCTATTTCTCTGAAAAAGAAGGGTCTGACCTCAGAGTGAAATTGCCGGCGCATTCAGTCTCGTCTCGTTTTCCATTTGTGAATTGAATTTCTCTGAGCAGAACGTGAACTACAAATCGTGTGAAAACAGCCTCATAACCTTTTTAAACTCGTGGATTCTGAGAAATTCCTCTCAAAGATCATCGCGTTTTGGCTCAGCTTGTGTAAACTACAAGGCAGAGTGTACAATGTCTGAGTTTATACAGGATGCACTTCATTTTAACAGTGAGTGCACGTTAACAAATGAAGCTAAACTAACGAGACAGAAAGCATGCCATATTTTTCTGCTCCTGGGTCTGATTTGAACCTGTGTCAGTCTATCAGCATAATCAATGCTCTTCTCCACACCATTCAATGATTTTCATGTTCTGGCTGATCGGTGTTTATTAATTAACCACTTTACGTGCTTCGCTGGGGTTCAGTGTAATCTCCCGTTTAAGGCTCATTTGGCTAAAATCTGGGGTCAGTCCATCATTTAGCTACTTGTCAGTTTGTTAATTAGTGCCCTCCCCATTAGGAGCTCCTTGCTGAGTGCGTTAGCGAGTGTGAGGTTGATGAAGCAGCTCTTCTGCGCAGCGCGACGCGTGTTATTACGCCAGCGAATGCAGACGCGCCATCCTGATCCCGCAGCCATTAAGAAAGGTGAAGGGGCCATTAAGTTTTCATCACAGCCTCTTTATTACTCCACTCCTCCTCACTGATGGTTTTGTTGATGCCTTCTATTTCCAACTTGTCACCAAACTGCACAAGAATGTACAAGCTGTGAGGTATGGAGCGTCAACACCGGGGCCTAGTGCTGTGTGTGATATGGTGCACGCTGGAAACAAACACCTTTCACTGTTTTCTTCATCAGAGTGGAAAGTTAAAGTCCTGGAGGTTTGAAAAGTCAGGCTGAGTCCGAACCAGAGGGATGAGTGAACCAGAGTGGGGAGGACAAGGTACAACGGAGGGGGAGGTGAAAGAGGACGAGGCTCCCTGTGAGGCTGCCCTACTTATGCTGTACTTTCTTTCTGGTGTCGCTCCATGTTGTCAAAAGCTTTTGCTTTGGAGAGCTCTGCAAGCTCCAGCGCTGCTGGCGCTCTGGGATGCAGGACATCGTCAGGCTGCCAGGACCGCCGTCTCCTTTCAGGACCAGACACACACAACACACACACTGACGCACAGAGAGAAAACAGTAAAATCTTAAAACAGGTGGCAAACAAGCATGAGTTTATCTGCTTCAATTGACATGTTGTCACAAAGAGTGGTGAGATACGGCACGAGAAGCAGGACCAAGAACTTTAATAACAAAAACTCAAGAAGACAAGAAACAAAAAAATAAATAAAGCAGCACTGCACAAAACACAGTAGGAACAGGAGGATCAGAACACAGACTGTGGGACACCAGGTGCGTATATACATGTATACTGTGGTCGCTTTATCTGAGACGTCTGAACTCTGATGTCGTTACACCCAAGTTAAGTGTTCCAGCTGCAAGCCTAAAAATCTGTAATAATTACCAACTGTTGCACTCAATGACCATGCAATACAAGCCAATGACCGTGCATTTCTCTGCAGTTTAGATTTTCAAACAGTACAGGAACAAGTTAAATAGAGGTGGAACAGTACTGTGTGTCACTGATTTAATGACAAACTGACAGAGGAGCAAAACAAAACGTATGGATCACAACTCTTCATGCACTCAGCAGCCTCATGGTTTGTAAAAACAACAAACATTTTTTTTCCATTCCTCCCTTTTCGCTTTATCATCCTGACACAACACCCTTATGATCTTTAGCATTCAGACACTATCATCTACTTAAGCATTAGTTATAGGTTCAGGGTTCTTTATTTGTCATTCACACCACATGTGGTACATGTGGTGGAATGAAATCGTGGACATAGTGTCCTAGCTACATCCAACAAAAGTATAAAATGTAAAAGAAAAACAGTAATAACATCTAAGATATGAACTAAGAAAAACGTTAACTAAAAATATGCTAAGCACTAATAGTACAAAAACAATATACCGAACAGCAGCACGAACATGAGTGTGTGTGAGCAGATGAGCACGAATGAACAGATCAGCAGCAACATGAAACAGATCAGCAGCAACATGATGTGATTTTTCACAATGATTATCCTGGTTAGAGATTCATGAGTCTAACGGCTTCAGGGTAGAAGCTGTTCCTCAGTCTAGTGGTTCTACACTTAATGCTCCTTAGCCTCCTTCCTGAGGGGAGCGGGACAAAAAGTGTGTGTGCTGGGTGAGTGTGGTCTTTCATGATGCAGGTGGCTCTCTTC